CTTACTTTAACTATAAAAAAATGTATTTAATAGTTTATGAATTAATTATTTTAAACTTAAGCATATTTGAAATTGTAGTTTCTTTTGAAATGGTTTGGTCGTCCTGAAAAGGACGTTTGGGTTTGAGTTTGTGTTTCTATGTACAAGTTTGACTTGGCACGCTGTTAAAACGCTTAAGCCTTCTTCTCGGTCTTCTTGGCAACAGGACAGCCTGGATGTTGGGCAAGACACCTCCCTGGGCAATGGTGACGCCAGAGAGCAGCTTGTTCAACTCTTCGTCGTTGCGGATGGCCAGCTGCAGATGACGCGGGATGATCCTAGTCTTCTTGTTGTACGAGCAGCATTGCCAGCCAACTCGAGAACCTCAGCGGCCAGATATTCCATAACGGCAGCCAGGTAAACTGGAGCGCCGGCACCAACGCGCTCGGCGTAGTTGCCCTTGCGGAGCAGACGATGAAATGCGGCCGACAGGGAACTGAAGTCCGGCACGTTGGAGCGGGACTTTGCCTTTCCCTTCACTTTGCCACCTTTCCACGACCAGACATTTTCTCTTATTTCACTTTATTCACTTCACACACACGAAGAACGAATGTAGCTCGAAGGGTCGATGTTCACGAATTTATACTTTGACTCTGCCTGTGCGTTCAGTAAGGGTGGGTCGCCACAGACCTGAAACATTGCTTGATAAAAGTATAAGAGCGAACACCAAAACTGAACTGCTATGATCAGTGAATCGTGCAGTGAAGTGAAGTGAAATAATATGCCGCCGAAAACTAGTGGAAAGGCAGCCAAGAAGGCTGGCAAGGCCCAGAAGAACATCACCAAGAACGACAAGAAGAAGAAGCGGAAGAGGAAGGAGAGCTATGCTATCTACATTTACAAGGTCCTGAAGCAGGTCCATCCCGACACTGGCATTTCTCGAAAGCGATGAGCATCATGAACAGCTTTGTGAATGACATCTTCGAGCGTATTGCTGCCGAGGCTTCTCGTCTGGCGCACTACAACAAGCGCTCTACCATCACCAGTCGGGAAATCCAAACTGCTGTTCGCCTGCTCCTGCCCGGAGAGTTGGCTAAGCACGCCGTCAGTGAGGGAACCAAGGCTGTCACCAAGTACACCAGCTCCAAGTAAATTTTCTCGCAGATGCGGAGGAACATTAAAAAGGCCCTTTTCAGGGCCACAACAAGTTTTACCAAAGAAACGAAATTTTCAAGAGCCCTATTCTTATTTAATATAAATAAAAGTAAAATTTTTAAAACAAAATGCTGTTCTGCGGTTTATAGGGTTAATAAATGTGCAATTTCAATAATATAACCCTTAAAAATGTTCCAAAAATGTAGTAATATTTTTTTTTTCCTCACGACCAACGCTATATCGATTCAGTTGTTGATGCTGATCAAGAATATATATAATTTATAGGGTCGGAAATGACTACTTCACTGAGATATGCTATTACCAAATCTAAAAGGATTTAATTGGTATAGGCGGATCTACTCTACAGTTAAAACTCCATATTTAAAACATTGATAATTTTTGGTCTCTTTAAGAAGATTTTGTAGCCCTGAAAAGGGCTTGTTTAATTAATTTCAAATTTCAGAATTCGAAATCTAAAATTGCGATAATAGAGATTATCTTAATTTACTTCTTGGACGCCGTATCTTGGCTTCGGCTTCTTAGCGGGTAGCTGGAGCAGTTTGCTTTCTTTACTGCCTTCTTGGGCTTGGCGGACGCTGCTGCCTTGGCCTTTGGTGCCTTGGCTGCCTTTGGCTTTGCGGCGGCCGGCTTAGCTTTCGCTGCTGCTGGCTTTGCCTTTACAACTCCAGTTTTCTTAGCATCCTTGGCCTTTGCCTTCTCAGTTTTCTTCTTCTCGGCAGTCTTCTTGTGGCAACGGCCTTCTTAGCCTTGGGTTTCTTGTCAGCAGCACCGGCAGCTTTCTTTGCGGTGGCCCCGGCTTTCTTGGTGACTACCTTCTTGGTTTTGACCTTCTTCTCAGCAGCCGCAACCTTTGGCTTGGGCTCCTTTTTGGCAGAGGCTGACAGTTTGAAGGAACCAGAAGCACCCTTTCCCTTTGTTTGGATCAGCTTTCCATTGGCCACTGCAGACTTCAAGTACTTCTTGATGAATGGAGCCAGTTTTGGGCGTCGCATTTGTAGGTGGCAGTGATATATTTCTTGATTGCCAGAAGCGATGAGCCCCACGTTCCTTCAAGTTCTTGATGGAAGCGTCACCATTTGCTGAGTGGCGGATGTGATGGCGGGACTGCAGCCTTCTTTGCCTTTGTAGCTCCTGATCCAGATGCCTTTTTGGCGGCCACCTTCTTCTCAACTGCGCTGGTGGGGCAGCCACTGGGGACGCGGATGTTGCCACTGCAGAGTCCGACATTTTGCTTCACTATTTCTTTTCGAAAACTAACGAAAACACTTTTGTTTGTATAGAATTGCAGCATACTGAAGTGCTTAAGAAAGTTTTTTGAGAATCGAGGAGGAGAGCACTTTACTATGTGTTTGGCAGCGCTCGTTTACGCTCCCAATGTTTGCTCGATGTGCAATTTCATTTTCTCCTTTTACCTGTGTTGTGTAATTAAATGATACAAGGTTTTAAATATTTTTAGTTCTTAAATGTTTCATAAAACAGTTACATTTATTAAAAGGTGAAATAAGTCTTTGGGTCATTTTGTATGGCTGTCTGAAGTTCAAGATTTAAATTTGTAGGCATGCATTTCGTTAAAAATCATGTGTAAAATATTAAATATTTTAAAGATACTAAACATTTTTAAGAAAACGTAAAATTTGAACCTTTTACTTGAAGAAACAATAAAAATAGTTGCAATTTTACAACAAAAGTATTTTACGACCACTTTTAAACTGGTCCTCTCATTAAAATATGGTCGACTTTCTTGGTACTATCGGATATGGTTTTAACTACCTAAAAAATATAAATAATTAAAATATATTAATTTTGTTGATTTTATAAAAAATAAGTAAGTTCTTTAGTCAATAAAGTTTTGAAGGAATTTATGGATTCGTTTCTTAGTAATGCCCTATTACGTCCCCCATACAACATTCATATTAGAGTTTACCCGAGTCTATTACCCAAGGAGAGACGAAATTAAATACATTTAAGAATGAAATTTTTAGATTTTTAATTAATAGTGAAATTTTAATATCGTAAATGTATCTGGTGTATCAAAAAAGTTTTTTATCTCTTATATATACATATATTTTTGTTAATAGAATATTGCCTTATTGCTTGTATTAGCATTTTATTCCATTTCATTACGATCTCAAAAACTATGCATTAAAAATATACTGGATTATGTTTGAATAAACCTTTCCATACAAATGGTTCATAAATAAGTCTTTAACATACCTTTTAAAATATCTCTTTGTATTTCGAATTTTGTACCGATACCTACTAAAAGTATCTACTACACACATTTAAAGAACGTATTTATTTTCCATGTATACATTCTGACAAATTTAACCAGAAAAACGCAAGAATGTTTTATTTAAAAAATGTTAATAATTATAGATATGAAATTTATAGTCTCAGTTTTAAAGATATTTGTGGTCCTGAAAAGGACCGATTTGTACAAAATGTATTGCCGCTTTGGCTGCTAGTCAAAAGCAACTTAAGCACGCTCGCCACGGATGCGACGGGCCAGCTGGATGTCCTTGGGCATGATTGTGACTCGCTTGGCGTGGATGGCACACAAGTTGGTGTCTTCAAAGAGACCAACCAGATAGGCTTCGCTAGCTTCCTGCAGAGCCATTACGGCAGAGCTCTGGAATCGCAGGTCAGTCTTGAAGTCCTGAGCGATTTCACGCACCAGACGCTGGAAAGGCAGCTTGCGGATCAGCAGCTCGGTACTCTTCTGGTACCGACGGATCTCACGCAGAGCCACAGTTCCTGGGCGATAGCGATGGGGCTTCTTCACGCCACCGGTGGCTGGAGCACTCTTGCGAGCGGCCTTGGTTGCCAGTTGTTTGCGTGGTGCCTTGCCACCAGTAGATTTGCGAGCGGTCTGCTTGGTACGAGCCATTTTAGATATTACTTCTTGTCACTGTTCACTTCACGAGTCTGAAAACACAATAAACGAGCAACCCGTTGCTACCTACTTATATAGCAAAACGTGGAGGTTGAAAAGAGAGCCGCAGCAGATGCCATCTCATTTTTCGAGCACAGAGCGAGATGGCCAATCGTTCGGGCTCACTCGTGCAATGCTGAGTTTTGGTATAAATAGAAGCGGCGACGGCGTTTCTACATTAGTTCAGTGGTGACTTTCGAAGTGTTAAAATAAAAGAGTGAAAAATGACTGGTCGCGGTAAAGGAGGCAAAGGCTTGGGAAAAGGTGGCGCCAAGCGTCATCGCAAAGTGCTGCGTGATAACATCCAGGGTATCACAAAGCCAGCTATCCGACGTCTGGCTCGGCGTGGCGGCGTGAAGCGTATCTCTGGACTCATTTACGAGGAAACCCGTGGTGTTCTGAAGGTGTTTCTGGAGAACGTGATCCGTGATGCCGTCACCTACACTGAACACGCCAAGAGGAAGACAGTCACAGCCATGGACGTCGTGTACGCCCTGAAGAGGCAAGGCCGCACCCTGTACGGTTTCGGCGGTTAAAAAATCAGTACAGTCTGTACTCAACAATCGGTCCTTTTCAGGACCACCATTTAATTTCATAAAAGAGAAAAATTATCAAATCAAATTTCATTGCTATATTTCATATTTATTCCAGACGAATAATAACGCCTAATACATTTTAATTGGTCGGGCTTTTCGTAGGTAGGCAATCATGCCGTAGGTAGCTCAAACAGTCCCGATGGGAATGAATTCCCGGTTTTTAAGATGCAAACTGTACCCAACATTTTCAAGAAAATTAATGCTAATGTTTGTCACCGGAATTGTCCCCTGACGACTGTACTTCTGCATTTTTGCTCCATTTTAGTTTTACACTTTATACCGACCACCTTACTTTAACTATAAAAAATGTATTTAATAGTTTATGAATTAATTATTTTAAACTTAAGCATATTTGAAAATTGTAGTTTCTTTTGAAATGGTTTGGTCGTCCTGAAAAGGACGTTTGGGTTTGAGTTTGTGTTTCTATGTACAAGTTTGACTTGGCACGCTGTTAAAACGCTTAAGCCTTCTTCTCGGTCTTCTTGGGCACAGGACAGCCTGGATGTTGGCAAGACACCTCCCTGGGCAATGGTGACGCCAGAGAGCAGCTTGTTCAACTCTTCGTCGTTGCGGATGGCCAGCTGCAGATGACGCGGGATGATCCTAGTCTTCTTGTTGTCACGAGCAGCATTGCCAGCCAACTCGAGAACCTCAGCGGCCAGATATTCCATAACGGCAGCCAGGTAAACTGGAGCGCCGGCACCAACGCGCTCGGCGTAGTTGCCCTTGCGGAGCAGACGATGAATGCGACCGACAGGGAACTGAAGTCCGGCACGGTTGGAGCGGGACTTTGCCTTTCCCTTACTTTGCCACCTTTTCCACGACCAGACATTTTCTCTTATTTCACTTTATTCACTTCACACACACGAAGAACGAATGTAGTCGAAGGGTCGATGTTCACGAATTATACTTTTGACTCTGCCTGTGCGTTCAGTAAGGGTGGGTCGCCACAGACCTGAAAACATTGCTTGATAAAAAGTATAAGAGCGAACACCAAAACTGAACTGCTATGATCAGTGAATCGTGCAGTGAAGTGAAGTGAAATAATGCCGCCGAAAACTAGTGGAAAGGCAGCCAAGAAGGCTGGCAAGGCCCAGAAGAACATCACCAAGAACGACAAGAAGAAGAAGCGGAAGAGGAAGGAGAGCTATGCTATCTACATTTACAAGGTCCTGAAGCAGGTCCATCCCGACACTGGCATTTCCTCGAAAGCGATGAGCATCATGAACAGCTTTGTGAATGACATCTTCGAGCGTATTGCTGCCGAGGCTTCTCGTCTGGCGCACTACAACAAGCGCTCTACCATCACCAGTCGGGAAATCCAAACTGCTGTTCGCCTGCTCCTGCCCGGAGAGTTGGCTAAGCACGCCGTCAGTGAGGGAACCAAGGCTGTCACCAAGTACACCAGCTCCAAGTAAATTTTCTCGCAGATGCGGAGGAACATTAAAAAGGCCTTTTCAGGGCCACAACAAGTTTTACCAAAGAAACGAAAT